GAAGCATTTCTTATTTTTATCCTCCCGATAAAATCAAAGGCCACAAAAATTTTGTCTTGATGCGCTATAAAATAAATTACAAGCGCATACGAAATTGTTCATTTATTTTTTCCTTCACTACATTATATTTTTATGGATATTTATTAGATTGATACAATTATTAAGCGTTTTAAATTCTATTAAATTGATTTAAGTACCTTTGCCCTTCGTTTTTACTGCCAACAAATGTTTTGAAGAATATTTTAGAATTATTTCAAAGTTAAAATTATTCGTCCATCGCGGATATTTCTTTGATAATTATCTTTGAATGGCAAAACGTCCTGGTCGTTAAATCAATCCATAAAGTTAAATAAAAAAACGTGAAGCAATATGACCTTTAAAATCCAAGTTATCTCAAAAGCAATTTTATGCAAAATGTTTAGTATATCGCGAAAATAATCACGCGTGCCTTATCGTGTTGAATTTTAAAAAAAGTTGGTCTCTGTAAGTTGTCATTGTTGTTAAACTACTTGATACCATAGACCAATACTTTTTATTTATTTTAAGTTATTCTAACATTTATCGAAATAATCATAATAGTAAAGTTATTTGTAAGTAAATTTTTACGTACCGTTAAGGACAGAAGAGAATCCACGGATGGGTCGATTAACAAAGGCAGTTATTAAAGTATTGTCTTTATTAAAAAATAAACTCTACTAACAAATTCTATCGCACTGGAAAATTATATGAATCGAATAATGTCTCACTTTTCAAAATCATCCAAGCAGTCAAGGCAGAACAATAAAAGACGTACACCGAAGGCCAAAAGTTTAAGATCTTGAAGTAGGAAAATAAAACAAAACGCCAATCAAAACTAAAAAAAGTGTTTATATCTAAGTGTTTTCAAGTCATAGCTTATCTGTCAGCATAATACTTCCGATCCAAGATAATCCTGTCTAAGAGGAAGGTGTAAGCGTCGCTTATCTCCTAAATGACTGGCGCAAGTTTACGGTCGCGTCGCTACACAAATACCTACGATAATGCCGCACTCAAGTTACAACTTAAAAGTTCATAAAGCTCTTAAGTACTATTTGAAAGATACGTAACTATTTGTGTAACTGACGTATTGTGTAATTTAGTGATTATTAAGTAAGTGTAGATGTTTTGTTTATTTTTATTATATTTATTATAATTTTTACAGATATACATCCATTCTTTTGTTAGTAAATTTGACTTGGTCTAAGTTAGTATTGTACATATAAAATAGATTACTTTTAATTATAATAGTGCACATGGACATTTACCCAGTGCTTATAGACAGGGCTGTCCATACGGCTCCCCACCACCTCCAGGATAATGTTGCGACTACCGCCCAACCGCGCCATCAAGGATGCTATGCGCTTGCGCCGGATCGCGACGAAGCAGTCCATCCGCGCCTTCGCAAACATTTATTTGTAAACGTTTATATGTAACTCAATAAACATAGATGTGAAGGAAAATAATTAACTACAATGTAACCCATCTGTTTTATATTCAAACGATTATTGTTGGTATCATCGCAGGATATTCAAAGCTAAACAGATACGTTACCTTAATTGTAAATTATCACTTTTCCTCTCTCGCCTCGGCCGTGTTACTGAATGACTGCTAATTAGGTAAATCTGTATTATTTATTTTTTTTGAGGACGATTGTATTAGTTCATACAATGTGTTTGACAAAGAACTTGGGTTAAAGAAACTCTACATGGGGCATTTCCAGTCGATGATTTAGGTTAGGTCTAGGGCGGGAAACTGCCATTAATAGGGCCTTATTCGAAGTATTTTTTGTGTCCCTTATTTTTAAAATCATTTAAGGGGCATATTCTCTCATGGCGGTTCAAATAAGCGTGGCGTTTTCTTTTTTTATACAAATTAAACGCTGAGATCAAAGATTTAGTTAACGAGAAAACTTACACTATAGTGTACGAATTTAACTTTCATCAAATTCAGAGATTGGTATATCCTTCTTATTGTCTTAAACAATCAACGAAAGTTTAGTTTTTAAATATCTTTCCTCTGACTTGTAGTCAGCTTATGTCACACCCTGTATTGTGTAGGAGTGCGACCCTGGATGCCAAATGTCACACGTAATACTATCATTACACTGTCTAAATTCATATTTACAACTGTGTGACAGCAAGATGCTTGTCTCCAAGCAATTTCAGCAAGTAGTAAGGTCAACTTTTATTAGGAATGGCAATAACGAATTAGGAGTACATTTGCAATGTCGTGTTTCAGTACAAAGGAAGTTTTACTTCAGAATTATTGCTGTTGTTGCGGTCGATTGAACATGAATTTACTAAGTAGAGGTAAATGTATCTATAAATTGCATTCTTGAGGATATCGACTGGTACAAAAAAACCTATACTAAAAACGAGTAGATAGATTTTGATTCAATTTATAATGATTATATAACTTCTAGAATTTTCGTTTAAAATGAAAGATTTTGCTATAAATAGGTTTGTAATTTGGCATTATTTTTAACATCTTTTTTATTTACAACTAGCTTTTTCCCGCGAATCCGTCCGCTTGAAATTTGAAAATAATGATAAAGAAATGAAAAATATAAATAGATTATCTTTCTAACGGTGAAAGAATTTTTGAAATCGGCCCAGTAGTTTTTGAGCCTATTCATTACAATCAAACAAACAAAGTTTTCCTTTTTATAATGTTAGTATAGACGTTAGTACACCAAAATGCACATAACCTTAAATGACACAGCTATCTAGGTTATCAAAGTTTTATGTTTATGTCTTAGTAATTGTCAATTTAATCCTGTGTATGTTGCTGAAGGGATGTGCGCACGTCCTGTGTTCATCTGATAGTACAAGACATTATTGCCCTAAATACATATTAACTGTCGATAATATCTCGTAAGGTTTGACAATATACGATACTACATTGATGTAAAAAGAAAGCAATACATAATACCGGAGATAATAATTATTCAAATCTTTATTATACACTAGCTTTCGCCCTCGACTCCGTCCGCGTGGTATTAAAAAACAAAACCATGTAGCCTATGAGTTCTTCCAGCCTATCCTCTACATTTATGCCAAATTTCATTAAGATACGTTCAGCAGTTTAGGCTACAAACTCTAACAATCATGCATCCATCCATCCATCTAAACTTTCACATTTATAATATTAGCATGACTAGCTGTTGCTCACGACTTTGTCCCCGTGATATTAGAACCTTTCAAAAAGTGAAAGAATTTTTAAAACCGTTCCAGTAGTAGTTTTCATTACTAATACATAGAAAAATGTAATAATACAAATCTTACCTCTTTATAGTATAAGTATAAACAACGATGAACAGAGAACAGAGAGGTTTAAATAAGAGAGAAGTCTGCATTTGTATCAAATTAAATAAATATTTTATGAGAACAAAATTTTTTTCTAACAATCATAAAAATAATGCCATACATTTCTCTAGTCTAACATTATTGAAAATAATTATTAGAGACTGAAACCTTGAAAACCAATCCAACTACTAAGTAAGTAATTACGCAAAATAACATCAGCTAGTGCATAAAACTGAACGTGTATTAATGTGCTTTATATTTTATAATTTAACTGACCTTCTATCGCGTTCATATTTGCATCACGCCAATCGTTGCATGATGAATGGTTTTAATAAATCATGTAACGAGTTCAACTTCAAACCAATTTGTTAACCGATACGTTAACGTGATTTTTTGACCGTGACTTTTATGTACTGATGTACCCTTAGTTCCAGAAATCTTCAAAGTTTAACGTGCTTTGTGTTATAGGTTATATTGGAACATTATAAAAATCATGTCATTTTAATGAAGACTAGTTGTAGCTCGCGTATTCGCCTGCGTGAAATTAAAAAAATATAGCCTATGTTACTGATAACGTAATTTTTTAATGGTGACAGAATTTTTAAAATAGGCCTAGCATTATTTGAGTCATTCCAATTCGTAAAAAATACATATATTTCCTCTTTATAATACTAGTATAGAAGAGAAGAGAAGATAGGGATATCAACAGAGTTCGACAGTACATGCCCCAAAAATTCCTATACATTTAAAATTTATATGTACAATATTGAAGCTATTCATTTGCACAGCAACAACAAAGCATTAGTATAATAAAATTAGGTAACTTTATGGCCGGTTTCTCGGTTGCTTTTAACCATTCTTTAATGATTTTGGTTCGATAACTTCTTAAAAAACTTGACTTTTGACTTATTCTAATGAAACTTAGGTCAACCTAACAGTAATGAATTACTACGTAAAGATAAAATAAAAGGAACCTTAGGAAACCCAGATTAGACATCTATTCGTCTTTTACTCGGCTGTTTTAAGCCAATATAGGATGTAATACTAAATGCCACTCGGAACCATCTAGATGGATTTAAAAATATAGTTACTGATAAATTTTTATTTCTAATTACTCCCTAACGTAGCTCATTATGATTATGAGCGCCTCATGAACAATGTAGCCACTAGCCACCCACGGCGCTCACAACGGGATACTGTGACAAAGGACTATCATGTTACTAAGCAATAACGTGGAAGAGGCACAGATGTGGAAAAAATGTATAAAAGTATCACAATTGTATTTTTATATGGTAAATATTTTAAAAGAAAACTGTAGTATATCGCATCTACTTCTCTTCAATCTTCCAGTAAATAAATGTTCAAATTATCGTAATAACTTTGTGAGTATAATATTAGTAGACTAAAGTAATACGTTTGTGAGTACAGAGAGTAAGATTTCTTCTAAAATTACAGCTTAAAGTGTATTGCAGTAAAAGGATATAAAAAATGTGGGAATTAGAAAACGCGATTTATGAACTAGGATTGGTGTTCAAAAAGACTAATGGTGTTGAAAATTTTTGTAATAAAACCATCACTTAGTTTCTTGTCTCCTTTCGAATAAAGGATTAGGAGTTAGGAGTTACAAGTGGTGGTGGTCCTTATCTGAGTTTCAACAGTCGCTGGGTAGTGGGGCGTACTGTCGCGACGCATTCTGTCCCGACCGCCGCATGCAGCAGTTGCGCCCGCGCACGCTCACTCCAACGCGGACTCTATAACGTTTTAAATATGTTTTCGATTATAGTGCTGAGGTGAAAAATTATTTCTTGTTTAATAGTGAACCAAAGTGAAATAAAGTGCTAGTGAAGGATTTGCTGATCGTGTTTAACCCTTTAACAACTTAAGGTAAATGTTTTTTTTTTTAGTTTAAATTTAAATTGTTCTTGATATAGTTTTAATGATCCGATAAGGTCAGATAATTGCAACTTGCCTTGTCATTTTCGTCGTAACTTTCACTGCGTTTTTTTCCAGTTCGTAATCTCTTATTACATAAATGAAAATTAGTAGTACGACACGGCGTTAAATAAAAATTATACATGACTTGATTCGAAAAAAAAATTACGTAGTATCTACATTTGAAAGGTATTTATTTTTACGTTGGTATTGTCTAGGCATTGTATATTTGTCTAAGCACATAATTCTTGCCGCTTCAAAATTCAGGCACGAATGCGCGATTTTCTTTTGCGGGTACTACCTGTGGGGTGGTATATTTTAGTATTGTAAGATTTTATTTGTCTTTTGAAGCCTTGAGTATTTTTTTTTATTTAAAACTTATTCAGCAATCGAACGTAAAGATTTAATACCGTAAAATTTTTCACGCCTCCGTTATCGCAAATTTAATGCTTTGTGCTTTCCATGATTTATGTTCCGCATTTGATGTATTTTTATTATAATTTTAAAAGAACTAAATGAATAGTCAAGTAGATATTACGTGTACTTATTAGAGCGTTACAATAAAAGTAGGTGAAATTAAATATGAGAAAATAATTCATTTAAAGTAGACGTATTTCAGACAGATGTTAAAAAATGGACAGTTATAAAGCACAAGGCAAACCTCTCAGCCTAAATTTAAATGTACAAAAAACGATTTCGCCGAATCGTTAAGTTGAGGTCGTTATTAAACATGCAATTTAGTTTATTAGGTAATTATTGCTAATGGCCTTTCTAGTAGAAATATTAATTGAAAAAAATCCTTTGCACATGATAATTTATTTACCATCTTAGTGGATATTCTGCTTCCTCGTTTTAATGAAAAAATACCGCTAGATTCAGATGAATCTCGAGTGTACATCTTTTAATCTAACGGAGTCTTGACTGATAATCGACAGAAATTCAAACCACACATATATAGAATAAACCTATATTCTTACGTCACATTTCGTTACTAGCTTTCGCCCGCGACTCCATCTGCAAGGGATTAAAAAGTAGCATAAGTGTTCTTCCAGACTATCATCTACATCTATGAAAAATTCTATCGAGATCAGTTCAACAAACTGCTGCGGATGGGTGTTTGATAAAGTTTTTAGCCTAAAGGTTTATTCATCCATTGAAAATTTCGCATTTATAATATTAGTAAGATTAAAACTGGCAACATTTCTTTACACGCAGCACTACACAGCCAGTTACAAAGAATTATGTTCACTGTAAGCAAAAAAAAAAACGAAAAAAGTTGTATTTGACATTCTTTTCTTTAGCATCGTGAACTGTAAACAATGACCAATGCGCAGGTAGAGGGTGGGTTTGAAGATACTATGATGGTCCCAAATTCAGGTCGTAAATCGATTTATTGTTACAAAAATGTCCGTCAGGCTGCAGGCGTGTTTTTGTGTCGGTTGTAATAATAAAATGTGAACAATTTTTAGTATCAACTTCTATAGTTGATACTAAAAATGTACATTGTTCATATTTCCTAAAACTTAGCCTTGTTTTGAGTCAAGAATTTTCATTGTAAAAAAAACAGTGCACTTGCAAAAGTAGTGAAAATAATATCATTATTAATTAAACGTAGATTTTGAAATTAGAATGTATTTTTTGTATTAAAAAATAGCCTTAAAATTCAATGACATCGGTGAATAAATATTCACTTTTGGACTAGTTTAAAACATAAATAAAAGATATTTTGAATTGAAAATGTTAAATTCAATTTACCTAAAAACGGATCATAATTTTTATTACAATTACGCAGCTTCCGTTTTAAAGCCTGCATTGAAATCGAATAATAATAATATTTTGACAACATATACTTACATTTCAATGAAAGATATGTAATTAAAGATATCCGGATATGATCATATCAATTCGATTACATACATCGATTAATATTTCCAATAACTTTTGTTTGTGACGAATGAAAATGTTTTTGTAATTCAATTATTTGCGTATGAAGTGTAACATTCGATTTCATATTTCACAGATTTTAAAATCATTTAAAATTTTAATTGAAACTTACTTATACTATAAAGTTTATATGTATAGATGGATGGATGTTGTATAAAGTTTGTAGCCTAAACTGCTGAACGAATTACGATGATATTTGACATAGATGTAGAGGATAGATAGATAGATTAAATTGTTTAAACTATAGAGAGACATTACTTTAAACAAAACTTAAAAAAGATTAAAAATTAAGCGAGCCTATCATTTCCTCAGAGGTCGGCAACGCATCTGTAGTTCCTCTGGTGTTGCAGATGTCCATGGGCGTCGTTGACCGCCTTGGTGTTCAAGCAGCTCGTTTGCCCCCTTTTATTGTAAAAAAGAAAGTAATTAAAAAAATCACTGTAATTTTTGCTTAATAGATAGATGTAGAGGATAAGCTTCTTTTTATTCTTGATTCCAAGCAAACGGAGGCGCGAAAGCTAGATGACTATAGTAAGTATTATTGTACTTTGTTAAGTCAAAAGATATGGAAAAAAGAAGTTTTTTTTTTCAAATACTATCCCAAAGCCATACACTTGTTTGCGTAATACGATGTTGCAATTTACATTAACTAAACTCAAGTAACTCGTAATGACAGACTAGATGCAATAAGTAAAAGAATTACTTACAATATGTCTATTCGTTACAAATTAAATTGCAAATTTACCCTTTGTGAAATCCCTAATTACTTCTTAATGTATACAGAGTAAATTGACTTGCTCCATAGTAATAAAGATCAAGGCAATATTAAAATAATTCTTCTGAAATAATAGGTTCGAAAATTTTAGTTAAAGATGCCAGCGTAATAGTATCTTTAATACAGTATTTTTTATGAAACTAGATAAAACTTATTTAGCCCCGCACATCCGCGTTGTGGAACGGTCTTCCCTGTATTTCCAAACCAATACGACTTACGGTCCTTCAAAAAGCGAGCCTACAATTTCCTAAAAGGCCGGCAACGCATCTGTAGTTTCTCTGGTGTTGCAGATGTCCATGGGCATCGTTGACCACCTCGGTGTTCTCACCGCCCGTTTACCCCCTTTTATTTTAAAAAAAAACATAAAAACTTTACATAATTATTAAATTGTCAATACGAATTGCAAACTACTAGAGTTTTGCTGTAACATAATACTTTCGTCGTTGACTGTACTTACCATGTACATCGGAAAGATTCACTGTGTCACCACCATGGAACAATACAACACCATTAAAAAACATATCACGTTTTGTATAATTGCGGTGACGCTGATCGTTTAGGATTAGGATACCCACAAGGTATTGATTGAATTTTGTTTCGAACTGTACAAATCAAGGTTGATATGGAGTGAAATAGTGTTCAATAAGATCGTGCTTCATTCGTTAGCTATTTTGAATAATTACTACATCGTTTTACAATTAAAAACACTTCACAAGATTCAATACTTGAAGATTTTATCTATCTGTAAACTCAACCATAAGTAGGTATGTGCTATAGAAAATATAACTTACAAAAATCTCTACGCTTTATTTGTCCATCGCCAAAATACCTCTACCAAATGTATTATCAAATTGTCTTTCTATAATTCTCTCTATCCAATTGCCTTTTTAACTTTCTGTCTCTCACATTATTTCCCCCGCATTCCCTTTTAAAGGAATGGGAATAATATTACTATTATGTACACATGTTTAAGCAGAATTGAATTTAGTTCCTTATATAACCTATCCATGTTAATAATTCGCAGATTCAATAAAAATAGTGATTAATTCTTCACACATTCATACTCAAAGCTATTGATGACAAATAACATAATTATACAACGTGTGTATAGTGACAATGAAAATAAATACATGAATATAAATGATTTTTAAACAATAAGTCGTGCTGTTGTCATTTATGTTTTTAATAATTTCATCTACGATTTTTATTATTAAAAAAGTACAAAATTAAGCTTATAAAATTCTAGATTTTACTTGACAAGTATTGATTTTTAGAAGGAATTTTTCTACAAGTATAAAAGCCCTATATTCATAAGACCAAAACATCACAAAATGAAGGTGTTAGGTACACCTTTTATATAATATAATATAATATAATATAATATAATATAATATAATATAATATAATATAATATAATATAATATAATAATGTTAGTGCCATTTATTTTCAACGTCCACAGAAGATCAACACATGTGCTGAGTGACTTTAAATAAATAATTATAATCAAGTTATTGCCAAAGAAAACAATAAAATTATTGTCTCGGCGTTTTCGATATACGACGCGGAAATCGCAAATAGAAGGAAGTTATTACGAAATTTAAGAAAACCTTTAATTTTAATACTCCGAGGTTTTGTACATCGAAGGATAACGGCTTGCGGTCACTGACGTCGACAGAAGAAATACTACGTTAATAAGTAAGATTTATATCTTTTATTAATCACTAGCTGTTGCCCGCGACTTCGTTCGCTTGGTATTAGAAAACAAACGAATTATATAAATAACAAAAAGCTTATCCCTCGGGCACCAGACTTTTCTCGGGGATGAATCTTATCCCGTTTGTACTCCAGACTTTGTTTTATATCTGTGCCAAATTTCAATAAGATATGTTGAACCGTTGCAGAATGATCGAGTAAAAATTAAAAAACCTAAATCAATATATCCCACGGGAACCGTAACTATTCCCGGGATAAAAAGTAGCCCATGTGTTCTTCCAGACTATGTTCTACATCTGTGCCAAATTTCATCCACATCCGTTCAGCCCATTAGGCTACAAACGCTAACAAACATCCATCCATCCATCTAAACTTTCGCATTTATAAAATTATATGTATATATATTTATATTTATACTATAGGAGAAGCTTTATATGCCAGTATCTACTGCCAGTATTAACATCTGTAGTTAGGAATTCTGCATTATTCTTGTAAAAAAAGATTTTGTGATTTTTTAAT